TAAAAGAATTGAAAATATTACATTCATATTTGTATCTGTAGTGTTCTAGTTTATAGAAATTACTCATCAAGGTATTGCAAAAAGTGCACTAATTAATTAAAATTATTGCAGGCTAAGAAATGAAATTGACTTTAAAAATATATTTGTTAAGGAAAAAAAATAGAGTAACAAAAAAAAAAAATGGGACCATTGTTTATTAACATGCTTTTAATAATTTATTTTCTTTGGCTAGTAATTTGGTTTAATTAGATTGTAGTCTGTTGCTTCAAGATTCCATTAAACGGTAGTTTATATGCCAGCTGCCAGAATAGCAGCCACAGTCTAAATTAAATTCACATATGAGCTTTTGGATAGCTCACAATTTTACCCTTGCTAATATTCAGGAAGATTTGTCCTTAACAATTGCAGCCGTGGATGCCTGCACAAAGCTTTCAGGAAACTGCAAAACTGCTCTCTTGAAGACTGTAAAGTCACAGCACTTGGTCTGTGCCTACTTAGTGTGCATAAATAAAACATTATCTTTTATTATAAGCATCAAAAAATGATTTTTGTTGTATTGAGAAAGCCTGTTATATACAATGTAGGTGTTTTTGTAGTTGAGATGCTAAAATATTATTAAAATACATGCATGGAAAGGTGGAAGACAGACATACCACTGGTCTCCTTATTAATTCCCACTATTCCATTCATTTTTAAAGCCACCTTAGATTTTCCCCCAAAAATGTTACCTTTTTTTGCATTAAAATATCTCCAGAGTGGACTACCACTTTTTAGGGCATAGTACATCATTATTACCTTCATATTGAAAGTTGCAAGGGCTTCTTAGGACCTGGCAAAGGTTAATTTTTGGACAGCAATGCAAATTGGTTTTTAGGGTGCTTTGTTACAGTTGAATAATTCCCCACTGGGAAATACAGTAATGGTGTTGGACAGTGAAAACATGATAGATTTTCAGTATAAGGGGATTATGTATTAATGTTTCCCCCCAGTGTTCTTACACTATTTGTCCACGATTCCCACATTTTTACTTGAGATTGAAATAGAAAATGTTTGGATCTTAGGTTATGTTCATCTTGGGTGATTGGTTGGTTCATTGATTGGTTTATTGTTTTTATAAAAAATAATGTTGGATTTATGCAGTTGGTAATATTGTACACATTTCATAAAAACCCTACTTTTCTACTAACTGCTGCAAAAAGTCTTATGCCCACATAACATGGCCCCTGCATGTTGATCAAATCTTTTAAATGTAAGATGGCTATGTAGTATTTAGTTTTAGATTGATGAGGAGCTTAAGATTTTGTGAGGTTTTGATTGCTTTGCAAACAGATTTGTCTAGCACAAATACCTCTTTGCCAAAATGCATTATGGGTGCACAAAGAGGAGAGATTTGGATCTTCCCAAATCTAATAATGAATTGGTTCATGGCAAGAAACATACAAAACAGGCAATGAGCTTTTGGACATTTTCTTTGGTGGTCTTATTAGACTGTTAATACTGTATGTGGGTCCTTTATCAAGATAATAGACATAAACCAAAAAGGAAAGCTATTTAAACAAATGTTAGCCAACAGCACAATAATTGGTCCACCTTGGACCACATCTGTGATTGCTTGCCCATGTACTTCTATCCTTGAATCTATGTGGGCAAAATAGTTTGAAATGTGGGCCCATTCAAGCAAGCTGAAGTCACAGTAGCTGCAATAGACCACATACACAAACTTACACAAACACAGATAAATTCTAAAACTTTTGATTCCATCTTTGGTGAGTAGTTAACACATTACCTCAGTGCTGCAAAGCATAAGTGCTAATCTAGCTACCCTATTGGTACTAGGCAATTTGACCTTTGTTGTGTTTTCACTGTTCTAAAGTGAGTTTGCTTTGAAATTCTCAGGGTGCAATGGTCAAAACCTGTTTAAACAAGTATTATTGTTTAATTCTTTGTTTAATACGCATTACTAAAGATTATTGCAATGATGCTCACCGCTCAAAGCAGCAAAAATGTATCTGGGAAAAATTGTAGCTGGCCAATGTGCAAGTGTTGCAAATTTCAGTATTATTTAATCATTACCAATGAAAGGTTGATATCGATTGATACTGGAGTGGTTCCACCCCTCCCAACTCAAATATATTGAGTTAGCAGTTAGGATTCTGCTTTTGGCTGGCAGGGGAATTTTTATTTGGCAATGTACTGCTTTAGGTTAACATCTGAGCATGAGTGACAATGTCTTGTATTATGAAAATTTTAAAAGAAAGATGCTGTCAAACCAGAGATGAACTAGATAAATGCCAATGCCAAATAATTTTAAATCATTTTATGAATTTTTAAAAATGTATTTAGCAAGCTGTTGCCCATAGTCCCTAGGCAATATGTATTTAGACTGGAAAAATAATCTAGCTGAGAGTTAACAAACTATGAGTTGTAAAATGTCAAAACACTGGAAAAAACCATGGTATGATTGTAACAATTGTAAATAATGTATTTAACAACATAAAATAAATGTTTTTTTTATATCCATATACAAATGTTTTGCCTTTCATTTATTTTTTAAATTGAATGAGTTTTTACAAGGTGAGGGTTTACAATCACTTTAACTCTTAACTGATCACCTGTAAAGCATTACCACCTAGGGAAAATGTTATGTGCCAAACCCTATGCTCATCCCCAGTGCAGAAGTGAGGAGAAAAAGATCATAGTGGGGTGAAGTAGAGGGAGCAAAGAAGGTACTACTGACAGTTTGGCTACTAGTTACAAGAGAAGTTACTGTTGACCATTGGGATACTCCGACATTGCAAATGGAAGAAGACAACCCATTAGCTGTGTAGAAAGTGCTTTTACAAACAGGTATAATGGCAATAAAAGAATGTCTCTATGTCCTGGACCCTGCGGACTCTAGAAAGGTCATGCCTGATGGGTTGCACATGCCCCTTCCTGCTACAGTCACATATTTACCTAGACGTGAAAGCATAGGTCATTTTTGTGCCAAACTGGAAGGACTGTGGGGCGCACATTCAGGGCCACTGATAAGGCAGTAGAGCTGGCTCTCCTATACTGGGCCTGGGCACCATCAGTTAATAAGGGGGCACCTGCCGATCAGTATGGCCGGCTATACTGCCTTACTGCAGATACCAATGTTCTTGTTTCTCCTCCTGTAGCGCTGCTTCCTTCTCCTTTCCTCCCCTCTGATAAAGAATAAAAAACAGACCAGTAACATGCACTACAGGGTCCAGTCCAACAACCAGCAGTCCATGGTGTCTGTGTGATGTGGACAGAGGTTCATTCCAATTCACAAGGATCCTGCAGCTTGCCAAATGAAGATCCAGGTAAATCCAGGGTTATCAAACAAAGGAATAGCAGCGTGAGACCCTCATTAGAATGATAAAGTCATTTATTCCATAAAAAATAAATAGTACACTTACATGTAAAAATCTTGTCAATCAGCATGGATGGAAGATGAAAACACCACAGGGTTGCCAGCAGTGTGATGTATGGAGAAAAAGCTGTCAGTGTATACAAGACAGTCCTTTCCCTCTAGCCAGCTACAGATAGACAAGATCCTGTCAGCTGTCAGAAAGCCTGCCAAATGTTGGCGTTCTGTGCAATTGTTGACATTCTGTGCAAGAGCAATCTACCTTATGACAACCCTTTTGTGTCTGCGAAAGCTGGAGAGAGGTTTGCAGAGGGGGGCGGTAACGCGTTTCAGAGGTTCACTTCTTCTTGGTCATAACCTGCCCCTTTGGAATAATGGTTGAATTTTTATTCAGCTCCCTGTTTGAGCTACCACTATACCAATTCAGCCAGTAATCCAAAAGGTCAGGTTATGACCAAGGAGGAGTGAACCTCTGAAATGCGTTACCACCCCCCTCAGAAAGCCCCCCTCCACATTTCACAGACACAAAGGGGTTACCATTCTTTCCCAGAATGCCATCGATTGGCGGGCTTTCTGAGATTGTATGCACTGACAGCTTTGCGGTTTCTCCATCCATCACACTGCTTACAACCCTGTGGTGTTTTCATCTTTCATCCATGCTGATTGCCAAGATTTTAACATGTAAGTGTACTATTTGTTTTCTTTATGGAATAATTTACTTTATAATTCTAATCAGGATCTCATGCTGCTATTTCTTTATTATTTTTTGTTCTCCTCCCTCTGGCTGCACTACAGGGGGGTTGTTTCCAGTATCTTCCTCCTGCTGTCTATGCCCCCCCCCATGTGCCTTCCTCCCTTGCAGTGCTGCCAGCTTCCTTCCTCTCCTCTCTCACCAGCAGCTGCTCCAAGCACATAAAGATGCTTCAGAATGGAGGGCTGGTAAATGCATCATATTTCCTGGCTCCTACCTTTCCTGCATGAACACAGTGAGTGATCCTGTGTCCATTCATCACTGAAGCATAGTAAACTGTGTGTTACTATGCTTCAGTTTGGGAATGAACAGAAAGCACTTCCTATTCATTCATCTGTGTAGCTGAGGCTGCAGAGAAAGGAACTGAGGAATCTATGTCCTCATTCTCTCTCTTTGTCTCATATGTGACAGGGCATTTAAAAAATATGTAAATATAAATAATTCTAAGAATTTTTTTTACAGATCGAAAAAATAATTTAAAAAAATGTAAGGACTCGTTCACATGTGATTGCTTTCTGAGGAGCAATCAGCGTTTGGATTGCTCTTCAGAGAACATTTGACAGTCAGTGAGGAGGCATAAGACCTCCTTACTGCCTGGTTTAACCCTAGAGTGCCGTAACCACTTGATCTTGTTCAAAAGGGGTATAATTTCATGTGTACATACCCACTGCCTCTGTTGCTGAAGAGGGTAATGTTTGGTGGACCATAAAAGCACAGCTCAGCCATGGAGTTTTTACATCCCCCAACCTCACATGTGAATGAGCCACCTCTTACTCTATGGGAATGCAACAGCTGTATGAACACAACCACAAGTTCTTAGTGTGCATTCAGGACCACTCACCCACACCTGCACATCGGCCAAATGTCTTTGTGTACCCACACACAGGGGTGGAATGACAACTCATGGGGCCCCTGGGCAATAGGGGATCATGGGGCCCCTGTGTCCTTGCCCAAACTCTAAAAAAAGCCTATGAAAAAGGTACCAGGGGCATCTCATGGGGCCCCCTACTGACCCCAGGCCCTCGGGCAGTGCCCGAGTTTCCAAATGGTCAGTCCGCCCCTGCACCACACACCTGTCAAATTAGGACCTGTGGCTGTGTTGGTACAACTGCTGCATCCCCATAGCATAACATAGACTGCTTGCACATTAACAAACCGCCGATCCACACTGTGCAGGCCACAGTACCCATGTGAATGAGCCCACATTCACACACAAGAATTTTTAGCAAGAATTTTGTTGTGTTTGTGTCTACTAATAATGTTTTTAGTGTTTTTTTTTTACTGAAAGTATCATTGGGGGGGTGGGCCGACAGGTAGGCTATAAAGGGCCCCATGATTTCTAACAGCAGCTCTGCTGCTCACATGTGCTGTGAGTAGCTACTCAAGGTCAATCAGTCACAGAGTTGGGCTCTGCTCTGAATGCTTATGTAAAACATGATCTAACCTATTATGAAGGCCAAAGGAAGTTTCAATCCATTTAAATTTTCTTCAGTTTCAAATGACAAGTAAACACTAACAATGCTGCTGGAAGTCTGGAAGAATGTAATCTCTGCATAGGCTTTAGGTCACATGAGGCAGCATGAGGCAGCTACAAAGCTGTTTTTTTCCTTTATGGCAAGAAAAAGGTCTTCGCTTTATTTTTTTTCTCTGTTTCAGTGTATTGATTCATACTTTTGATGTTTAACACCTACAGAGATAAAAATAGACTTAAAAGATGCTTCTGCAGACAAGTGAAGCATATGTTAACATATGCATGGAATTTTATTAGCTTTTCTAAATGTTACTTTTTAGACTTTGCAGTTGCTGTTTTATGAAAGTATGGCTTTGTATCTACAATGAAACTATACTCTGTAATATGCATAGACTGGAAATCATTAGGAAAAATGTACATGGCTTTTGTGTGCTTGTGTTTAAAAATTCATATAGAGGCTTATAATGGGCAGATGTTTATTTTTTTTTTTCATCCACAGAATATTTTTTGAATATTTGGTTTGAATACACCAAAATAACTATAAACTATACAGTTTGGAATTATGTGATCATTTGAATAATATTTAAAGACCTTTTACCACCTGAGGATTTTAGATGTAGGAGAAACACCCTAAAAAAATGTAACAAGGTTTTAAGTATGTATTTCTTGCCCTTGCTCCTAAAAAGCAAAATGACATCCGTAAATTGCTATGTATTGCATAACAAAAGCCACTGTCACAATGCAGCCACTCCAGTGTAAAATGATATTTGCAGGTAGTCACTGAGATGGTTAGTAATCCTTTACAGTCATGTTCAACTAAACAATATCAAAGTACTGAAAAAAGTAATGAAATGTAGATGCCTTCACCTTCAGAAAGTCTGGTCATTGCTGTTGTTGATGTATACCATGAATATATTATATGCAAGCAGCGGGATATGGTGGACAAAATTAGATATGCGTATAGAGGGGATTTTAAAACTCTTTGAGCCTTTGGGGCTGACTTACTAAGGTTAAATAGGTGGTGTGCTTTGCAAGGGAATTTTCCCGTAGCTTAGTGAAAGAGGTGGTCGCCATCCGATTATGGAAAACAAGAATATTCATTTTATTTTCTGTTGCATATGCTTGGGTATTCTTTGCATAGTGAATTTTCACCACATTCACTAAGCAAAGGGGAATTTACCTTGCAAAGTGAAACAGCCTATTTGCCTCTATGAGTCAAATAACAATTAAAGCCAAATGACATGTATTAGTGAATATAAATAGTTCTGCAATGGTAAAAAGAATCGCGCTATGAGGAATAACAAAGCCGCTAACGTGTCAACTGATTCAAACTGATAACTATAAAACTTATGAAAACATATAAAAAGAAATAAGGTAACCATCACCAAAAGTATATAGGTGAGTCCATAAAATCAAATATTTAATTGCAAAGTCCCAAAATATAAAACTTGAGTGTCTTCATCCATAGAATGTAGTTCTTCCTCTTTCAGTTAACCACCTCAGTGTGCCACTACCACGTGCTTTACCAAACACGCTTACCAGAATATGTTGGCTCTCTAGGTTAGAGAAGTCAAAATGCACCTATAACATGATGTCATCACGCATCTGGATACCCGGAAGTGGCCCACCTGAGCCCCGGGACCAGCTGTATTACATTATACGTGCTTACATTTCTAGCCTTGTGAGTATATGGTATATTGTAATGAGTTTACAGTATGTGGTTTCTTGGTATCTTTTCCTATAATACGGTTGAGCTTTGGAATTTGGATGATGATTGTTGATTGGACAACCATACAAGTCACAATTTCCTATGTTGGATTCTACATATGCAGGCACATTTTGACTTCTCTAATGTATAGAGTCAATATATTCTGGTAAGAGGAATTACTACATTCTTTGGATGAAGACACCTTTTATATTTTGGTACTTGTGGTGTTTTCATCTTCCATCCATGCTGATTGCCAAGATTTTAACATGTAAGTCTGCTGAGCTCCCCTCCCCCAAACCTCCGACACAAATTTATCTCATGTGTTGGGAAAACGTCTCAGAATTGAGTCATGCCGATAACAGAGGAACGGAGCACCAGAGAGAAAGCCCACTTAGGCAGGCCATAGACGGGACATTTATTGGCCGAATTTTCGTCCGATAAATGAAAAATCGGTCGGCCCTGTTGCCAATGCTGCCACCGGCTGTTTTTCGTAAATTTTCCAGCATGACCGATAAAAAATAGATGTGAAGATCTGCAAAAAACGGCCGACGGGCTGGCCCCACTAACGACGTGAATATCGGCGGATTTTTCGTGCGGACGAAAATTCAGGCGATAAACGACCCGTCTATGGCCTGCATTAGAGCTTTAAAAATAGACAGGTAAACACTACAGATATCTTTTCTTTGTTCAGATTCCATGACTGAGGTTTTTAATTGCATATAAATATTTCAATCAATTCCATGTTTTTTTAAATAGCTAAAAAATATTTACTCAGTTAACTACCCTCCGATGTACACATACCATTTCTCGAGAGCCTGTTCTAAATCTTGTGTTAACAACAAACACCACTAGCAATATAATAAGGTTGCATAAACATGTGCAAAATTATGTGATTTTGTGAGCACTCACAAAAGGAACCAAAAATGTGTGTCATCCTTGTGTTGCCATACACACTGTTAATGGCACCCCAATTTCAGCAAGCAAGATGCAGGTTTTGTATTACAAAATATACTCCAAACACAATTAAAAAACCATGCAAAGTTCAAAAAATGTGCATGAGCTTCTAGCATAGAGATTGTGTTTTCAACACTACTTTTATGACCCTGATTTCAAGAGGTTTGAAAATTGAATATATGTATACTGTAGTTTGTGTATGTTCTGCTTAAGGCCCTATGCACACTATACTCTATCTTTTATACAGCACTATTGATTTTTGTTTAAACATGTGCAATAAACAAGCATATTCTCTACAATGCTCATATCCTCAAATAAAAATTAAACATGAATCAATAAAGTGTATTTTTATGCTTCAATAAAGTCTCTCTGTGCACATAAAGTGTCCAAGTGCTTTCAATTATTCACAGTATAATGCAAAATGCCCTATGCACACTATGATGAATGTGATCAGTCATTGTGCATATGTGTATTTTTTGGTGGGTTGTCATGTTACGCACATTAGACAGGTCATTCATTTCGCAATGTTGGTTTTCATGCTGCAAATTACCGTATTTTTCGCTCCATAAGACGGTGCTGACCATAAGACGCACCTAGGTTTTAGAGGCGAAAAACAAGAAAAAAAATATTCTGAACCAATGGACTGCAGACATAGTACAGGGAAATGACCAGAGACTGCGGACACAGTACAGGAGATGACCAGAGACTGCGGACACAGTACAGGAGATGACCAGAGACTGCGGACATAGTACCGGAGATGACCAGAGACTGCGGACATAGTACAGGAAATGACCAGAGACTGCGGACATAGTACAGGGGATGACCATAGACTGCAGACATACTACAGGAGATGACCAGAGACTGCGGACATAGTACAGATGACCAGAGACTGCGGACATAGTACAGATGACCAGAGACTGCGGACATAGTACAGGAGATGACCAGAGACTGCGGACATAGTACAGGAGATGACCAGAGACTGCGGACATAGTACAGGAGATGACCAGAGACTGCGGACATAGTACAGGAGATGACCAGAGACTACAGACATAGTACAGGAGATGACCAGAGACTACAGACATAGTACAGGAGATGACCAGAGACTGCGGACATAGTACAGGAGATGACCAGAGACTGCGGACATAGTACAGGAGATGACCAGAGACTGAGGACATAGTACAGGAGATGACCAGAGACTGAGGACATAGTACAGATAACCAGAGACTGCAGACATAGTACAGGAGATGACCAGAGACTGCGGACATACTACAGGGGATGACCAGAGACTGTGGACATAGTACAGATGACCAGAGACTGCGGACACAGTACAGGAGATGACCAGAGACTGCGGACACAGTACAGGAGATGACCAGAGACTGCAGACATAGTACAGGAGATGACCAGAGACTGCAGACATAGTACAGGAGATGACCAGAGACTGCAGACATAGTACAGGAGATGACCAGTGACTGCAGACGTAGTACAGGAGATGACCAGAGACCAGAGGCTTTGTGAATGGCCCAGCGCCTTCTGGGACCTGTCATGTGTCCCAGAAGACACCGGACCGTTCACAAAGCACAGCGCATGCGCAGTGGGCACCGGCTGTCACAGAAGCCAGCACAGGAAGACTACAGCGCTGGAGCGAGGAACAGGTAAGGTCCTGCAGGAGAGAACAGCTGAGCGGCCGGCCCGGTATTCTGACATGGTGGCGGCAGAAATACCGGACCGGCCGCTTTATATTCGCTCCATAAGACGCACTGACATTTTCCCCCCTTTTTTGGGGGAAAAAAGTGCGTCTTATGGAGCGAAAAAAATACGGTAGCTCATGCATCCTTTTGAGCAATAAGTGTTGCACATTTTTTTAACCAAGTGTTTTGACACACTTGTCATGCATTTTTCTGTACATGTCTGCTTGCCGCATTTGGGGTGCCATTATCAATGACAGGAATCAAAAGTATGATGGACATTTTTGAGCATTTCATGACCCCATACTAAATCATGCAATTTTGCATACATTCACGCACTGCTTTTGTGCAGTTTAAAATGGTTGTAAAGGCTCAAGGTTTTTTACCTTTATGCATTCTATGCATGAAGGCAAAAGACCTTCTGTGGGCAGCTGCCCCCTCAGGCCCCCAATACCTACCTGAGCCCCATCTTGATCCAGCGATGTGCACGAGAGCCTCTGCTGTTCCAGGTCTCTCCCTCCTCATTGGCGGAGACAGCAGAGAGAACCATTATCCCCCTCTACTGTCAATCACAGCTAGTGAGGCAATGAGGAGAGATCAGGGGGCGGGGCCGAGTCAAGTATGTGTGAGTATGGACACACAGAGCAGTGGCTTGGGAGCCCCCATATCAAGCTGCGTGCTCTGGGGGCACTTGGCAGGAGGAAGGGGCCAGGAGCACCAGTTGAAGGACCTGAGAAGAGGAGCATTGGGGCTGCTCTGTGCAAAACCATTGCACAGAGCAGGTAAGTATGACATGTTTGTTATTTGAAAAAAAATGTGCCTTTACAATCACCTTAAGACAAATATAATAGAGTATGTTCAGTGTTCTCTAATTCATAAAAAAAAAAATAGTAAAATTTATATTCAAACCTGTTAGATACATAAATATATGATGTTGTGGTCTCGGTGTTCATTGACAGAGTACTGCTTATGTACTTGTGTTATGCAGATTTGAAATGTGTTGTGCTGTACAGACACAAGTGGATGCAATCAGAATATCTAAACTCTTCTAGTGTCTTTGGAAAAGCATGAAGTGCTTAAATACTTCACTGCTGCTTGAGTAGTAAATGCTTTAAAATAATGTTTTGCGTTAGGAGGGACAAAGCGATTCACAAAAACCCATTCCTATTAGTGCAGCTGAATTTATTTCAGTACGTTTAAAGCCACACACAGAAGACAGATGTAATCCAGCCTAGATTTGTATTTCTTAAAAGAATTTTCGAGAAGTGTAAAATGAGCCAAGGAAAAGCACCTGCTTTGGTTTCTCACAATAGAATTTCTTGAAGGATTAACGTTCAGAGGCCAAGCTGCTAAGGTGATTTCTTGTGTTTAAGATGCATACAGTACACTGAATCCTTTCCCCCTACTTATCAAAGACATGTCACATCATACTGAAGCTCAAGAGACTGTATTTCTCATTTCATAGGCCATGGAACAGCTTTCACAAATTTGGTTGGCAGTTCTTTCCAAAGAATGCATGATCAAAGACAGATATTCAAAGCATTTTCTAAAAAATATTGTTATATTCATTGCATAATGTCTTGCTTCATTGTTGTAATGCATGGCCCAGATCAGATTTTTGCTGCTAAAAGTATGTGTGCTGTGTATTTGTGTGTGTGTGTGATTCTTTAAGAATGTTCTTCCATGACACCTGTGAAGATTTGGAGATTTGTGACCATATAAAAAATCCTTTACTGGAATAACTTCTTCTCTTCTACAGTTTTACTATTTAAAAAAAAACCCTCTTATTTTCAGCATTATATTCAAAGGATAAGTTCACCTTTAGGAACATGTTATATGTTCCACCCTTTTGTGGGTGGAACATGTAACATGTTCTCATAGCCACAGACGCCACCCGCCACCCCTCCCCCCCCCCCCCGCCTATATATACATATAGTACGGAAAGAAGTCTCCCTTTTACTATCTGTCAAATTTGAAAACAGCGCAGCTATGCAGGGCTCAGCCCACATTATCTGCGTCATTCCTTCACGGACTGAATTAATGAACTGCAAGTCCCAACAACCTTAGCGGCTTTCAGCTTGTAGTTTTCAATTCACTACCACGGTGCTTGGTAGTTCATTGAAGCTTCCTGTCAGTATATCTGCTTGCCCCGTACATCCCATATGACAAGCAGATATTCTGACAGGTCTGCAGGAGACCTGCATGGCATCCGCGATCTACTGATCACTGGTGCAATGGTTTCCAGGCTCCTATAGACAAAGATAATAAATGCACATTTTTTTTACCTGAAAAAATGTGCATTTATTATTTTTGTCTATAAGGTGTACTCCTTTAAAAAAGATTCTGCATATTGCAATGATCTTCCTCCATACTGGTTTTGCTCCTGTTACCAGAGAACAGGTTACTGATTATCTTTAAAATTAAATGTAAATTACTTCAGTGTATATCATATTGGTTGCTTTTTGTTCCCTTTTAAAGTTGAACTCCTTTACGTTAAATACAAGGATGACAAACCAAACACACAGTACATACTGTATATACGAGCTGTTCAATTTGTTATTTCTCTACATCTATTCCTGATATTTACACAGCTCTGTGAGACAACACAGCCAGCCTAGAGACTTGACTTTTCTTTTCTAGGACTTGTACCTTGATGAGCTCATCTCTTGGTTATGATGCTGTCTCCTTCCTAAAACCGACTGGCTTTCTGTGCTGCCCCTCCCACCCCCTGTCTGAGTGTTGCCATTCTAATCACTTGCTGCCCACCCACAGTAGTTTTAATTCAGACAGGTAGTACTGGTACTTTGTCTGACACTTGTGTACTAGCATGCCCCCTGGGGCACACAGTGGAGGGATCCCATAACCACTTTGTCCTGTGAACACAGTGGATGACTGCAATCGGTACTCGGAAGCTATGAGCAGCTGGGGTATCATGTGATTGCTATGACCAAGCAATCACATGATATTTATGTAAGCAAACTGTCATGAATGGGTTTCCATTTATGACGGCTTTACTACTGTTGGGATCCTGTGATTGGCCCGCAGCTATCACATACTACCTGGATACCTGTACCATGTGACAAGCTGTAGCCAATCACAGCATGTCAATAGTAACTAAGCTGTGATAAATGGAAACTCAAAACTATTGCTTATAACAGTGAACTTCACTGTTAAAAGCAATAACAGTGTAAAAAAAAATCCATAATCATCCCCCCCCCCCCCCAAGAGTGTCACTACTAAAAAGTTTTAAAAAATGTAATAAAAAATGATTTACATTTTTTTTCTTTATATACTGTTACCAGTCTGTACCCCTGATCACCGCTACACCAGCCATGTGATGACGCTGCACTGCACTGGTGCCTGTATGTAAAAATATTTTTTTAAAAAGTGACAAAATATTACAACTTCAAAAAACTCACCATGCCTCTTACTAAATACTTTGGGTTGTCTACTTTACAAAAATGATTCATTTGTGGGGTATGTGTACTACCCTGCCAGTTTAGGGCCTCAAGAAATGAGATGAGGCCTTCAATATATCAGATTTGATCAAATTGAAAATATATATACCATAGTTTGCAGACTCTAGAACTTTTGCACAGACTAAATAATATCACAAATTTGGGTTATTTTACCAAGGGAATGTAGCTGAATACGTTTTGGCATTAATTTATGAAGAAAGATTATTTATTGCAAAATGTTAAAACAGAAACTAAGAAACACGTGTTTATTTTTTTTGTTGATATAGCAAACAATAAAATACCCAGTTATGATTAAATACCACCAAAAGAAAGCTCTATTTGTGTAAAAAACTGATTTAAAAAAATGTAATTTGGTACAGTGTTGCATGACCGAACAATTGCCAGTTAAAGTTGCACAGTGCTGAATAGGAAAATTGACCTGGTCATGAAGGGGGTAAAACCTGGAGGTCAAGTGGTTAAGTAGCTGATAAATCAGTCAGGTACTTACACTACCTGATATTTTAAAATAGGTTATTGTTATGAAAACAAACCTGAATGAAATGGTGTTTTGTCTGTTGCAATAGGTTTTTATTATTCTTATGAGGACTCAACAAGGCACAATGACTCATAGTTTGCATTTCATTTGGTAACAAAATAACAGGCAACAGCAGTTGGGTACATAGAGTATAAGCATAGCACATCTATTTTTTTCAGACTAGACACTAACTACATATTTATGCATGATGCATGATAGATACCATAACCTAGGGAGGCATTTTTCAGGGGGGGCAACACTGCCCCCCAGAAGAATGGACACATGTACCACGGGGACCAGATGGGATCTGAGAGAGGCTGCAGGCTGCTTGATGGTGTATGCAGAGCCCGACTCATGTTCCCAGGGATATCCAGAGCTGTGAAGGTGAGTGTCTTTCTCTATCTCTCTGGGAAGGGGGGGGGGGAGTTGTATGTTAATGGAAGGCTCTCTCGGGTGGGGTGGGGGCAGCGTTTGTTGGTCAATGTCAGGGTCTCTCCATGGGAGGAGGGGGGGGGTGGTGTTGGTCGGTGCCAGACTCTCTCCCCTGGGGTGGGGGGGGCTCGATTTTCTTGTTGCCTAGGGCAACACAAAATCAAAATACACCACTGGTTATTAAGGTAAGATAAGATAAGCTTAACCTCCCTGGCGGTATGATTATTTCAGATTTTTTGGTGCTGGAAAGGTACCATTTTTTTTGGGGAAATATGTTTTTTTTTTTTTGTAGGGCTGTAATTTTTAGGAATAACTCACTGAAATCTGTCGAACAAGAGTCTAGTAAACATTCCGGGTAGGATAAAATTTGAAACACTAAATCATAAATTATAATTTAATAAATAATCATAAAAATAATAATATAATAATAATAAATTTAATTTAATAATATAACTCTAGCGCCAAGTTCGCCCCTGCTGGGTCGCAAAATCGGGATGACGGGCATTATCACTCAATTCTGCAAGTGGTTCTGATTTTCGCTGTTCTTTAGGGTCTAAAACCGCTT